GAGCTGCAGTGTAACGCGCGGTGAAACGTGCCAACGACCCAGATGCTCCCGTTGGAAAAAATTGCTTCACAATTTGTAATCTCTGCTCTTTGATCACTCTTTGGAGAGGAGGAGGGGAGGCATGATGCGGTCATATGAGTAACACACCTCCCTGCAGTCAGCAGTTGTTAAAACCTATATGTTGTTAATAAGTGACCTTATGTGCTTAAGGTTAACTACTGAATGCCAGCGTAAATTGTTCTGGCCCTCCCCAGATCCCGCTGTTTCCAGTAGGTGCTGTTTTCCTTCTACTCAGCAGGATTTTTTTTTGAGATTTTTGCTGGAGTTGCTTTTTTGTTAGCCAAAGCTGTTATTATTACACAGGCGCTCTACCCTCTGCCCCCCGCCTTTAACACAGAGCCTGAGAGCTCTTTTGAAGTGAATGTGAAGATTTTTTTTTTTAATTTGTTTTTACAGTTTATTTTGGTTGCAGCCAGCTCTGTTTTGGTGCTTGCTCTGGCACACTGGCAGAGGCTTCTCCATGCAGCACGTCAAACACTTGGTGCTCTTAATATGCAATATTTCCAGTGCTACCCATTGTCAAGCTATGCTTTATTAATGAATTAATCATGCTCTTACACAATGACTGTAGATAGGGTGCCAGAAAGCTGAGTGCCTCTCCCACCTCCAAATGCATTCAGCTAATATAAATCTCAGCTCTTAGAAATAAATTAAAATTAGAGTTTTACTCTTGAAAGTAAAAAAAAAAAAAAATCCATTCGTGTTTTTAAGTTGTTGGGGATTTTTTCCTAAATTGTATTGATCTTGTATTTTAAACTTCAATGAGTAAATGGACTCCTGTTCATCACATGTGATCCTACCATAATATTTGAAATCATGCCAATATATTTGAAATAACCATTCAAAAGGTTATTTATCTGTCTATGCTGCAATAGTGCTCACCAACCCTAATTCCTGGAGCCATGGGTCAGAGCATAGTTGGATGAGAAGCTGTACAGAAGGGAAAGCTGGTTTACAGCCCAGGAAGCCTTGCAATCTGAGTCTGAAAGGCAAGAGAACAGCTAGAGACAGAGTACCAAGGAAATAGTGAGACAAAGCTGGCTGCAGCATGAGAAGCTGCAAGCACAGCACTCCAGAAGCTTAACTGTTGTCACATTTTTCACAGGGATCATTGAAAAAGGAAATTATAAGGAGAGGGTTAATTGAGGTTAATAAGATAAATTCCAATATTTCAATTTTGCTATTATTGTATTTATCTCCTCTTGCCTCTTCTGTAATATAGGCAGTGAACCTCACTAAGTAATGTCTGCCTCCGGACAACAGGCATACTTGAACTAGAGCATCCCTGTTAGTTAGGTATTCAGCTTGGTTAAAAAAGACCCCAAGTAATGGTGATTCCACCACATTTGAAAATTATGCCAGCATTTCATTGCCATCAGGGTTACCAGCCACTGCCTTGTTTCTCATTTAGCTTTTGCTTTGCTTTAGCTTTCTGTCTTTCAATGTCCTTTTCTGCAAGATTTAATCTATCAGAAGACTCTTCCCCATGTAGAAACTTGTAGGCTATGACAAAGTCGTGGAAAAACTTCCCTTGGAAAAAGTAAGTAGATGGAGTTTCATTAGTCATTGACTACAAAGGATGTTTTCCAGACCTGAAATCATTCTTATAACTTTTTTCTGAACACTTTCCAATTTTCCAACATCCTTTCTAAAATGTAGACACAAAAACTGGAATCAATATTGTAGTAAGGAGCCTGCTAAAGCTGAATACCAGGGTAACACATCAACTCATTCCAGCTCAGAGCTACATCTACAACTCTCATAGCCACAGCAGTGCCCCGCCGGGTTCCCTTTTTTAGCCCACCTTTTTTTTTTTTTTTTTTTTTTTTTTTTTGGTGATAGTCTCATAACCTTTTTTTGGGGGGAAAAAAAAAGATCCCCCAAATTTTACTAGTGACCTGCTTTCATCAGTTCAAGAAATACAATTTTGCTCTCGGGTGTCTGTGTTTAGACGAACCCCTTACTATGTAAGCCATAACAATATAATTAGCAAGTTTTTCACCATCATTTTTTAACCAAAGTTTTGTATTTTACCAGAAGTGATAGTCTTTCCTTCTTTTCTAAAGGTATTCAGCATGGAACAAAGCTTTCAACGCCTGGTTCAGAACACGTCCTTGACATGACAATCCCCGCTTCGCAATGACACGCGCTCCTTCCCAGTGTTCATGTACTCGGCCTCTAGTGAAAAAATTTAAACCCAGACCGAGGGGGAAGATTTGTTGTAGTATGTGAGAACAGACAAAAGTCTTTCAGTATTAAAAGAGGCTTTGGTGAAGCCTTCATTTGAGAGCATTTGCCGTTGCCAACTCTTATGATTTTTATGTTGGTGTTTCACTCTTTGGAGGAGTCTTAAAGCTTCAGCTCCCAGCAGTTTGTAATTAGTTGACCATGAAAGCTCTTGTTTAAAAGGAAAATTCTGTCTTTCCTTGAAAACACCTTTATTGGGTGCTAGACTCAAAAAAATCGAATGGCACATAAGGATAATTCACGTCTATATTACCATCATGGGACTTTTGCAGCAATGTCGTGATTGCATAAAAATAAATCATGACATTTGAGTCATAATTTCAAGCATTCCTCATTCAAACATCAGGGCCCCAGCCTGTATTTTTTGTGTACACAGGACTCCTGGTGATTTCAGCAAGAGCTGGAAGAGCTGTGGGAGTGATCAACAGGGTGCCAGATGGCCACATGTGTTACTTTTCCAGGTTAAATGTCATCATGTAAATACAACAGTTAGAGTTTTCTTTCAGTGGGCTTCAAAATCAGAAGGCAACAGATAAAAACCTGTTCTTATTTTTTAACTCTATAAACGGTTGTTATTGCAGCTTGAAAGGTAAGGTCTATGCAGCTGACCCTTTTGACAACACGAAATTGTGAGGAGCATTTTAGTTACGATTTCTTAAATATTTTGTCCATATCTGAAAGGAAAAAAAAAGAAAATGTTTCGATAGTAAAATCGTAATTGTAGTAGCAGCA